CAACTAGTTACAAGTTCAAAACTTTTACCATCTATCTTATAGCCTTCAGACTTTTCCCACACGTTTTTCCCCATGAGACTTCATCAAATGGCTTATTGAAATACAAGTATGTTATATCTATGTCTATGACATTACTTTGATCAAATAACTCTGACAAAAAAGGGAAATGAAGTTAATCTGGCATTACCCATTCAGGATGAAACCAAAGTGGCTTTTAGCGGACTCTGCTTCTCTTTCTAAATGGTCATAAATTATCTCATTAATCCTATATTTTAAAATTTTGCCAGGAATCACAGTCAAGTTTATTTATACAGTTTGCAGACTCCATTCTCTTACCCTCTTTCTTGAAAGTTGGGATGTTTTCCCTTTTTCTTTCTTGCACTACTTCTCCAGTTTCTTACGGTTTGGGGAGTTCCCCCTTAAACAAAGCAATAGTCATATTTGCTGGTTCTTTCAACACCCGGGAAAGCAGTTTGTCAAGGCTGCTGACTTACTCATTGAAGTCAGCTGAATATTCTCTGGCCAACTCCTTATTTATCTTGAGTTCGACTTTCTGGTAATTTTTTGTTTGCTTGCTTTACTTGTCTAAATACAAAGATTTCTCTATGGTAGAGAAAACATAAACCGATAAGAACTGAATGATTCTGTCTTCCCTCCTTTGTTGATAATCATTGTCCTTCTCCATCAGTCAAAAGCTTTCCTTGATATTCCTCTTGCCCCTACTATAGCTTTAAAAAAAACTCATTGCTATCTAGTATTCCTAAGCAGCCTCAGCTCATTTTGAGTTTTAACACTGATTTAACACTATAATCTTTACAATTTATCCTCTCTTTTGCATTCATCCTGTTACTTGCCCTTGCTTTCATATAAGGTATACTTTTTTTTTCAAATCAAAGTTGGTTGATAAGTTCCTTGTTTCACATAAATTTCTTTATATGGATCCCACTTTTCTTCCTTGAAAGAATCCTCAGCATTGGTGTCATTATAATTTTGTTCTCAAGAGCCGTCCCATTTCTCATGAACCAATTATTCTTATATCATTTTAAGCCATAGAATTTTACTTATCATTTCTCCGGACTCTTAATTCACCCTTCCAAAATCTTTCTTACCTATCATGAGCTTTTATATATCATGCCCACTTCCTTCCAAATACCCCATTCTTATTATATAAAAATGGTTCTTTCAGAACTTTTGTTTGATGATATAACATAACATAACGTAACATAACATAACAATATAAAATACATAGTGCTATATAATATAGAACAGTAACAACTTATGTCTCACTTAGGAAACCATTCATTGAAGTCACATTCATTTCTTCCTGTCTTAAGTGGATGGTCTAGATACTGCCTTTTATTCAGGCTCAAGGATAAAGTTACACGGAAAGAGAAATCTAATAACAATAGATTGGAAGAGGCCTTTTTTTTTCATAAAGAAGTTGAAGGTTGAAGTTAAATTTCTTGCAATCCTGAAAACATCAGCCTGGCCCTTAAAAAAAAAGGCAAAGAAAAATCTGTCAAGCTTAGTTCATATGCTAAAGGGAAATACAAAGATTCCATTATATGTATTATATCATTGGTCCCAGAAGTTTTCAAAGCAGTGAACTACAATTTCATGGCCCCAGGAACCAAAATTTGGTAGGAATTTAGCAAGGAAACGATGAAATCATTTGTCTTGAGAACTGCAAAATTTTGACGATTTCATCAAACTCTCTGGAGTGAGAATGCAGAAAGACATGTCACAGGCTTTCAGCAATATTGGCAAACCAACAGGTTAACAAATTAAACAAAGATGATGACAAGCATGCAAGAGATAAAAATTCTTATAATTTGTTTCTTGGCTTCCTATTATAAATAATGTAACTTATTTATCAGGAGAAAGCAGAGGGATTTCAAAACAACTATGCTGGGCATAAATCCAGCATTAAGTGAATTTGAATATGACTACCATTCCATTATTTTTCATGTTTATTCTCTAATCATTCATTATGTGTAGATTCCACAAAGTATTCCAAGAAGAGCTAACAAAACAAAGATTACTACCCAGAGGACTTTTTGAAAGATGTGTTTAAAACTGGTCTTCTGCAATTTCGGAAAAAGAAAATAGGAAGATGACATATACACTCTATCCACTGTGCCATCTAGTTGCCATTATGTGTATGCCATATGTGCCATATGTATGTATCTGTGTATATGTATGTTATGCATATGTTGTATTACATATATATGTATATATACATATACAAAATAGTAGTCAATAGACAATAAACATTTATTAAGTGCCTGCTATGTACCAGGCACTGTGCTAAGCACTGGGGATACAAATTTAAAATAGAAAATCAGTCCTTTCTCTCAAGGAATTTATAATCTAACAGGGGAAGACAGTATTCAAAAAGAAGCTGAAAAGGGAGTGGGGGACCCAGTGCTAAGGCATGACGTTCATTCACAGACTGGAAGCCAAGCAAACAGCTAATCAAAAATGAAGAGTTTAGCTGAAAATTTCTACCTCTACAGAGGAAGGCTTTGGGAGGAGTTCATTTGTCCAGGCCTCTGATCAGAGGAAGAGGCAGCTCAGGGTGCTGAGAAGGTGTTGCCTATCAAAGCTGGATCAACCTCCATGATGACGAGGTTTTGGGGGATGAACTTTTTCTGGGTATGATGCTCATAGAGCAGAAACCAAGCAGAGCAGCTATTTAAAAATGAAGAGAATAAACACAAGGCAGCTAAGGAGAGCATTAGCATTGAGGAAGAAATAGAAAAGATTCCTGTAGAGCCCTGAAGGATGGGAGGGCTTCAGTGAGGTGAAGGTGAGAAGAGAGAGCATCCCAGGCCCTGGCACAGCCAGTGTAATGGCAGGGAGACGAGACGAAATATTCTTGGTGTTTTCTCAACCATACATCCAAAGTAAAATTAAACATTTCTGAAGAAAACTATCTTTCTCTTTAATCCAGCCCAGACAAGTTTTTTCACCGGGAGATGGTAGGGCAAAGTCAAAAATTTTCACTGTCAGAATCGCCTATGTATTCAGATCCCTTCATTTTACAGATGAGAAAACTTTATAAATGGCATAACTAGAAAGGAGAAAGGAAAACATCTATTAAACACCAACTTTGGGCCGGGCACTATACTAAAAATACTTTACAACTGTTATCTAATTTGATCTTCACAACAATACTGGGAAGTACATACTATTATTATTCCCATTTTACAGTTAAGGAAAGATAGAAATTAAATGCTTAGCCCAAGGTCACAGCAAGTAAGAGTTTCAGGTAAGATTTGAACTCAGATCTTACTGATTCCAGGCCCAGTGATCTATCCACTGTATCACCTAGCTGTCTCCTAATAATAGCCAGGAAAGGAGTGATGAGAAATAGTGTCAAAATCACAGTAAAAGGTGTAAAAATAATCAGAGGGTCATTCATAGTTATGAGGATTGTTATAGTACAGTGTTAATATCACTTCAAAGAAATGATCATTGCATGGCAGTGGTAGAACAAGCAAGCCTAGAAATAATAGTGAAGACAAAGAGTATGATAAATAACTCTATCTCTAGCCTCCCCAAGACAGGAAAAATGAGAAAAGGAGACAGGGGAGTGAGCATTAGAGAGGGTAGTGAAAGATATGCTCAGGAGAAAACCAAGTTTCAATTAGTTCAAGGATATGCTATCAGAATAGAAAGGAGAAGTCCAAGATGGTTGGCTAACAATGGAACAGACATTCCAAAAAACAGAGTGGAAGTGGTACCAAAGCAGCTAAGAATATGGACTGAACAGAAATTCAGAGCTAGGATAAGTAAGAATGAGGACATGAGATAAGAAAGCAGATAGCGGGGACTGCTACATAGAATGGTCAATCTGTAAGGCAGGGATTAGGGAAGAAGGACAGTAGGAGGTGAGCTGCAGAGCCGCGTTAGCCAAAAGAGAAGAGGGAGAAGCAAACAGGTAGAAATGATTAATAGAGAAACTTGTAGAGTTAAGCAGACTCAGGGCTCTATGTAGTATCTTAGTTTGACAACACCCACAGCCTAGTTCCCCAGAAATGAAGATGCTCCCATTTTTGCCTTCAACGATAACAGCACTACAATATGGATTCATATTTAATGAATCAGAAGGAATTTTGGCAGGCAGTATAGTTATTGGAAAGATCAAGTCACTTTAATTCAAATTAAATTCAGCAATCATTATTTAAGCATCTGTTATGTGCAAGGCACAATTCTGAGCTTCCCCTCTCAGGACCTCAATTACCTTATCAGTAAAATGAGGGTATTAGACTAGATTATCTACAAAGTCCTTTCCAGCTCTCCTGTCTCCACTGTAAAAATAATCTGTAAAATGGAGCTAATACTACCTGCCTCATAGAATTGTTACAAGGATGGAATGAGGCAATATGTGAAAAGTATCATGCAAGTTCTTCTTACTAATGTGCCAGGGACCCTTGGTCTATGTCTATCCACCACTACCAAACAAAAACCAATTGTAAATCTCAAAAACATTCCTATTTTGCAATTAGCAATATGACAACCTTTCTGACTAAGATAGGGGGAAAATCAATTCATTTACCCCTTTAGCAAGCATTTATTAAGGACCTACTCTGCACTAATGTAACCACATGAATGAAGTAGCATAGGAACATAACCAAATGCTTATTTCCTTCCTTCCTTCTTAAGAACCTTCAGTAGATGAGTGATCTTGTTGCTGAGAATATTTCCTCTTCCAGGACAGGTTATAAGTCATCAACAACTCATCCTTTGCAATTTCAGTCCTTATCTTTACTTAAATTCTCCATAGTAGATCTAACCAAATATAGTAGAGGCTGTCTTCTAATTCTTTCAATATCTGAGAATACCAATCTATCATTTGGGTTGTACATTGATTATCAGATTCACTACATAACTAGACCACCTTCTTTTCCCATTTTATATGCCTTTAATAATGCCTTTGACACCTCTTCTCCAATGTAAATTTTCTTGGTAATAAGTTGCAGCCTACTTATACTGACCTTATCTCTTTCCATTGTCTCTTGAATCACCCTCCATTTTCATTCTTCTGAGAGCAGTATTCTATGATTTGCAGCCATCTGCTGAGAGAATATGGATTTTAAAAATTGGTCTTTTGTGGCAGCAAACATTCGACTTGCTGTAAATATTGCCTCATTTCCTGAATGTGAGCCACATTCATCTCTTCTTTCTATTCAATTCTACACCTAGTTAATTGTCCCTGTATAGCACCTGCTTCTTGTGTTTGTATTTATGAACTAAATAAGTATATGCCCTATCTAACTATGTGTTGTAGTCTATGCAATATGCATTTTTTCATCTACTTTGTTCTTTCAGGATAAATGGCTAGACTGATCTATTTTGAGTACCTATCAACACCTTTGAGGAAGTGTTTACTGAGTTTAAGGAAATTAGTTTACTGAGTTAAAGGAATTAGGACACTGTCATCTTAACCACAGGAGAATATAGGAAATATTTCTATCAGTGAGGTACTTTCATTTATTTGGAATCTGTAGAAGATACCTCCCATAATACTGGCAAACACTTTAGTGAGCATATGTCTCCTTATTTTATGCCTCACTCAACATTGATATCGAATGAGATAAAAGAAGGAGATAGAGATTAGACCTGTTCTTTCTTGGCATAGGTAGCTTCAAGTTAAAGAAACTCCATCTACTAATTCAAGGCATCATGTTCTTATAGTCAGAAAGTTGCCTAGAGTACTGAACGGTTGAATATCTTTCCCAAGGTCACTCAAACAGTATATTAGAAGTAGCATTTGGACCTACATATTCTTAGCTTTAAACTCATCTGTCTAGTCATACAATATACTACTTCTTAAGATATTCAGTGGACATTTTTAAAAAGTTAATCTCCATGGTCACCTCTATCATATAATCTTGTATAATTTAACAAATAGGTAGGAGATGACTTGTTTAAAGAAAACCTTCAGGGATGCATTTTTCATAAGGGTCATAAATATCTAATTAGAGGTGAGTGTGATCACATAAGAAGGTAATCCCTGATACTAAGCAGGCTAAGCCTGGAAGATGGCTTAAGCTTAGGAATTCTGAACTGCACTATGATGAACTGATCCAAATAAATGTCCACACTAAGTCCAGCACCAGTATGGTAGCAGGAGTGGAGGGCCATCAGCCTGCCTAAGCAGGGATGAACTGGCCTAGATTGGGAACAGCCAGTTAAAGCTCCTAAGTGGGGCAGCTAGGTGGTACAGTGGATAGAGCATCAGCCCTGGAGTCAGGAGGACCTGAGTTCAAATCCAGCCTCAGACACATAACACTCACTAGCTATGTGACCCTGGGTGAGTCACTTAACCCTAATTGCCTCACCACAAAACAAAACAAAAAAAGCTCCCAAGCAAATCAGTGGTAGGTATGGGCCTATAAAAGGCCACTGTGCTTTCAGCCTTGGTGATATAGACTCAATCTAAAAGTTAAAAAAGTTCTAATCGCAGAAAATATTCAAAAATACATAGAACAACTCAAGAAGTTTGACATAATATATGTAAATAGACAATCACTTGGTAACTGTTGAATATTTATTAAGTGCTAACAGAATTCAAAGGTGAGAGAGTGGTTCAATATAAATTACCAACCAAAGCTGTTTCCTGTGGAGTGAGACATTGCTGACTCTCCCTTGGGGTGACTACTTTCTAAAAGATAAGGGAAGTTCTGATATAAAAACACAATAGAACATTACTATGCAGTGAGAAATGACAAATATTGAGGAACTTCAAGAAATTTGAAAAGGTTTCCATAGTGATACCAAGTAAAATAAGTGAAACCAAAAGAAAAAATACACGGTAATTATAATATAAATGAAAAAAGTCACTAAAATGAGTGATATATACTGAGGAGAACTCAAATTAATGGATAAAACCAATGAAGGCCCTAGAAAACAGATAATATACCTTCTCTTTCACAGCAGAGAGGCAGAGAACTACTACTACTACTACTACATCTACTAGCTAGCTTTTATATAGTGCTTTAAGGTACTTTTACAAATATTATCTCATTTTATCCTCACAATAACCCTGGGATGTAGGCATTATTATTATTCTCTTTTTTTCAGGTGAATTAATTGAGGCACAAAGGGGTTCAGTGATTTGTCAAGAGAAGGTGACACAGCTAGTCAGTATCTAAGGCTGAATTTGATCTCAGTACTTCTTATTCCAATTCTAAGGCTCTATCTGCCTTACCACCCTAGCTGCCTGTGGAACAGAATACTGTACGCATAATCATATAAGATACCTATGTCAAATGTTTTTGCTTAATTATTTTTTGTCACAATGGAGGTTTCAGAAATTACTGTGATATAAAAACAAAATATCATTATATCAATTTTCAATAAATAAATATCAATAATCAATAAAATATATTTTAAACTAATTTTTAAAGCCAACCATTCAAAAAATATTTATTTTGTACCTATAATAGCAGGGGTACTGTTCTAATACATGTGGGTCATAGATAAGAAATCCCTGCCTTCAATGATCTTATCATCTAGTCATAAAGATGAATGCATGAAAGATTTTTTTAAAAAATAAGAAGGCACCATATGTTGAGTGCCAGATGGGCAGTGCATCAATGCAGAATTAATACAACTCTCTCTTTTTATAGCAAAGGATTTCAAGGTATATTACCCATCACAAAGTCTAATTATTGCTCAACTTCTCCTGGATCCTACTCTTACTCAAGGAGGATTTTCACTTTGGAAAGGGATCTTATATTAATGCCAAAGTTCAAGGAGTGGAAATGACTGAGATCTGAAGTCTAGACTTGACCTCCTACCTATGCTCTGTCCCTGTTCCTAGAAGAACAGCTGAGGTACTAAGCAGAGGAATTTCCCAGTCAACTTAACACCGAACTACAGAATTGGAGAATTGGAAGGAAGCGCAGCAGTCACCTGGATAAATACCAGAAAGGAATCTCCATCCATTATAGTATATTTAATGAAGCAGATGTGGAGCTGTGGATCTTTATATCTCCTTGTACTAGGGAACTGGGGTTATCCTCAGGAGCCAGGGCAGGGAGCTTTTAGGAATGGAGTACCACGCTCCAAGGCTGTTCCTACATCATGTGGGACTGAGATGCATAGTCTAATCCTATTGCTGATCACATAGAAACGCTGACCTGCTCAATCTCTAAACTGGATAGATTCACAAAAGGATCCCCTTTCAAGAAATTTCCTAAACTACAGATTGATTTTTCCCTTGAAAATAACTTAAGCAGGCTGAGATTCTTACAATCTAGCCCACTTGGATTAGCAATACAGATGCTTAGATTCCTTAAGAGTCTGGCCAATATGGCAGATTCTTTAAATCTCACACATCTCCAATCAATGTTCTAATAAACCTTATCTTTGACTGAAAGAAGGCTTGGGTCGAATTCATTTAGACAGAACCTGTATGTTGTGATTTTGGGGTCCCAGCACCCCTAAATCTCTAAACCTCAACATTTTGGTGGCCCATACTGGGAAGCTGCCTAACCCCAAGCTCTTCTCCAGCCGAGACTGGAAGGTATGTTAGCCTCACCCCCTTTCTTGCCCTGAAGTTGGGGTCACTCTCCAAGTGATTTAGGAAGCACCTAGGAAGGCTTGGAGGCACTTTTTGGGCAGACAGTTATTAGGCTGTATCACACTCGGCCTGACTCTCAGGCTCTCAGTCTGCTGGTTCAGTTCAAGGCCATGGACCTGGGTACATCTTCCACAGCACAAAGGACAAAGGCAGGTGCCTTATCCAGAAGCATGAACAGTTCTGTCAATTCTCTCTGTACTAGGGAATTGGGAAAACTGCAGGTGCTTTTTGGTTCCCTGAGGCTTATTTACTCCCTTCCCTTTACACCCTTGGATCTTCCTTCAAGGAGGCTACAGGGAAAAGTTAGAACAGCTAAAAACATCTTAGCAGATTCTGGAGGTTTTGTGATCAATCATTAAGGAATTTTGAAACACCTCCTTACAACCCTGGTCACTCTCTTCTCCCATTCCCTTCCCTTGAGTCAAGAGAGTATATTTATTAACCCTTCCCCCCTCACCTTTGAATTCACCCTCCCACACCTGGCAAAAAAGGGGAGGAGCAGCAGCTACAGTGTGGGCCCCACTGGCAATGGCCTTGGGGCAACTTTTACCTGGAAGCACTACCCAGGTTCAGCACATTCTGTTCAACCCACCCTTACCCCCCACCTCAACCCCTAGCCGCTGTGGGGAGAGAAGAAAGGGGGATGGGTCAAGGTAAAGAAGCCAGCCTCTGAACTTGGGTAAGCATGCTTTTTTAAAGTTGTTAATGATGAGATGTTGATTCTCTGTGTAAAGTAATTTGGAAATGCGTTTAACAAAATTAAAGTCATCTGATTCGCAATGAATTTGTTTCAACTTTCAAATTGGTGAACTTTTTGTATCAGTTATGTCAAGCAACTTTTCATAATTTGGTTACCACTAAAATAATTTGGCTATTGTTGGTTATTGTTTTAATGTGTAAATTTGCCAAAAAGCTTGTTTGGGTCATGGCGTGCTGAGAATTTTGAGTTGTCTGAGGGATCATAATAATCCTTCAATACTCAATAATCTACCATCTCTGAGAGAAATGCCAAAAGCTACTCAGAGCGAATGTGATAATGATGGGAAGTCTATATTGGGGAAAAGCTGAGAGGACAATTTTAGCTTCAGTCTAAGATGGGCTCCTCCTGCCTCAGTTTTCCCATTATGTTCCTTTGAAAAGGATTGTTACCCACCTAGCTATTCCTCAGTCTGGCTATGAGGTGGATTTGATACTGCATGGTTGGAAAATTGTGAATTATCTGAATCCAAACAGAGGTAAGGATATTGTATCCTGTCATATTTGGGCCCTAAATCTTGTCCCTGCTTTATCTTTTTATGGCAAATTTCTATAATCAGAGTGGTCAATAAAAGATCAATGCAAGTGCGTGAAATCTTGCTGTTTTGACTTGAATGTGTAGTCATTCAATACCCTCAAAACAACTGAAATTAAATCAGAAACATCTTCAGTTTGGTTTGAGGAGGAGAATTTCAGTGATAATTGAAGTGAAAGTCAGTCTCTTGGCAAATTCATTTGTATAACTATTGAACTCAGGGTGGAAAATTTCTACCTGCAAAAGTGTTACTTAAGAATGGAACCAAGATGGCAGAGTAAAAGCAGTGACTTGCTTGAGCTCTCCCCCAAGCCCTTCCAAATATCTGTAAAAAATAGCTCTAAACAAATTCTAGAGCAGCAGAATACACAAAAAGACATAGTGAAACAAATTTCCAACCCAAGAAAACCTGGATGATCAATGGGAAAGATTTTTTGCACCAAGCTGGGAGAGGAGTGCAATTCAGTGTGGGCCCTGCAGGCAAAGACAAGGCCCCCAGCAAACCTGGAGCAGCCCTCAGATCAAAACATACACCAGAAGAAGACAATAAAGTCAAAGTTCCTAGATCCAAAGCCTCCAAGAAAAATATGAATCAGTCCCAGGCCATAGAAGAGCTCAAAAAGGAGTTTGAGAAGCAAATAAGAGAAGTGGAGGAAAAACTGGGAAGAGAAATGAGAGTAATACAAGAAAATCAAAAAAAGCAAAACAAGTGAACAGTTTGCTAAAGGAGACCCAAAAAAATACTGAAGAAAATAACACCTTAAAAAATAGCCTAACCCAAATGGCAAAAGAGGTCCAAAAAGCCAATGAGGAGAAGAGTACCCTAAAAAGCAAAATTGGCCAAATGGAAAAGGAAGTCCAAAAGCTCACTGAAAAAAAATTAGAATGGAGCAAATGGAGCTAGCAACTTTATGAGAAATCAAGACATTGTAAAACAAAATCAAAAGAATGAAAAATAGAAGACAATGTGAAATATCTCATTGGAAAAACAACTGACCTAGAAAATAGATAACAGGAGAGGTAATTTAAAAATTATTGGACTACCTAAAAGCCATGATCAAAAAAAGAGCCTAAACATCATCTTTTAAGAAATTTTCAAGGAAAACTGCCCTGATATTCTAGAACCAGAAGGTAAAATAGAAATTGAAAGAATCCACCAATCACCTCCTAAAAGAGATCCCCAAAGGAAAACCCCTAGGAATATTATAGCCAAATTCCAGAGTTCCCAGGTGAAGGAGAAATTATTGCAAGCAGCTGGAAAGAAACAATTCAAGTATTATGGAAACACAATCAGGGTAACACAAGATTTAGCAGCTTCTACATTAAGGGACCATAGGGCTTGGAATTTGATATTCCAGAAGTCAAAGGAACTAGGATTAAAACCAAGAATCACCTACCCAGCAAAACTGAATATAGTCCTTCAGGGGGAAAACTGGACATTCATTGAAGTAGAGGACTTTCAGGCACTCTTGATGAAAAGACCAGAGCTGAATAGAAAATTGAGGTAGGGACAGCTCTCTGCCCCTTGCCAGCAGGAAGTAGTTTCAGAAGCTAAGACCTTTAGCCCTTACCCCAAAAGAATCTGGGTCCTATTTGTTTCAGGGGGGAATGATGGGGATGGGATCCTAAAAGGAAAAGACCATGTCTTTGGGATCTGGACCCCAAAAAGAGAAAAGCCCTGGACTTTTCCCAAATCTTTGGTGTTTGCCTGAGGCTGTAATCCACTCAACTGGACTTTCATTGAGCCTAATCCCAATCTCCCTATCCAGATTGCCCCTGGCCTCTTCCCACCCTTAATCCTATCTAGACTCTGTTCTCCCTTGGCCAAGTGGTCCAGGTACCTTGTGCTCTTTTTACCCCAGTTTACTGGCCACTCTTATTCTTAGACCTCAAGTCAAGTCACCCCAGACTACTCGTCCACTCCTAGATCCGTCCCAGTCTTTCTGTATGTAAGATTCATCTTGTCTCCATTAAGGTGCTCAGATTCTTAAGATCTGGGCCACTTGCATTAGTAATGCAAATGCTTAGATTCCTTAAGAGTCTGGCCAATTTGGCAGATTCTTTAAATCTCACCCACCCCTGATTGATGTTCTAATAAACCTTGTCTTTGGCTGGGGAAAAAAAAGAAAGAAAGAAAATAACTTAAGCCACTCTCAGTTTGGAGATGGAAAGAGATGGTTTAACAATCCCAAGACCTGAATTAGTAGTCTCCTTTTTCCTTTTATATTTTCTTCTCTCCATACTAAGATTAAGACAAGTAAAATAAATTATTTCTTCTAAGACATTATTGTGATATCCAAGTTTTCCATTACTGTCAATTTTTTTGAGTTTCCCATTAGCGTTTTCAGTACAAGACCTTTTTAAAAGAACCTTTTATCATAATAGGGCAGAGGGGCAAAGCAGATAGACAGCTGTCCTGCCCCTGACATGCTAGTTCATTTAACCTATCAATACCCTAGGCATCTGACTAAAGATTACAAAATATAAAGGAGGTACCAAACTACATTAGTATAAGGCATTTCTTCACCTAGAAGTTCCCCATACCAAGGAAATCACAAGCCCATAAAGAAAAACATGCATGTTCCCTAAATGTCTCCATGTTGTTCCAGTTCATCTTCTCACATTCTCCTTCCCACCTTTCTTGTCTTCATTTTCATAGTCTAGTGTCTGATAACCATATCCAAGTCTCTCTCATTTGAAGGGAAAGAAAGAAAAGTACAAGGAAGATAGTTGCTTTCCTATATGGAAAGAGAGGTTGTGGTGCTGGTTGATGGACTAGCAGTAACTTAAGTTATTCACAAGAGCAAGGGTTATTAACTCATGTATCACAGACCTCTTTGGAAGTCTGATGAGACCTATGGACCCTTTCTCAAAATATGTTTAAATGCACAAAATAAAATACAAAATAAATGAATTATATTCAAATATTGTTATTAAAAAATTTTTGAATTCACAGACTCCGCATTAAAAATCCCTAAGAGAGAACCAAGTAGTACCTTCAGAGCCCTTCTGCAAGTCCCAATGCTTTTCATATATTTTTAAAGGAGGAAAATGAAGACAAGGTTTCTAAGTAAATCTATGAAATGTCTTGTTTCTGTCAAAATCAGCAAATAAGTCCTCTCCAGTGTTATCTCAATGGTAAAGGACTAATCAATTCCTTATTTCTCCTTTACTCAAGGTATTTTGCAGATTGCATGGATTAGCACTAAGGAGCTAATTACTTCGTGAGCTTGGATCACTTTTCCAGAAAGAAAAGCTGTCCCTGGGCCTCAAGGTAGCTTCTTTTAAAAAAAAAATTTATTTTAATTCTTACTTTTAAACACTTCTTGGAGGTAGGGATGAAACAGGCTCCAAATGTGAGCTGAAAACCATCTCAGCAAAACCAGTGCACTCTCAATCTTGGGTGTTTGGCCTTTTGGGATTGAGAATTCCAAATCCTTTCATTTGGCAGCTGGACAAACATAAATCAGAAATACAGAACAGAAGACCTTTAAGCCAAAGGTGTAACATCAAGAAAGCAAAAAAAAAAAAAAAGAAGAGGACAATTTATTTTCGTTATTTAGCAGAAATCTTAATATTAAATGTTCCATTTTCTACTTCATTACCTTGAACTGTGGATTTGCAACTGGAAATGACCTTAGAGATAATCTAGTCCAGCCTGGCTTTGAATTCATAGTTTTTAAACATCGGCTTCAAAAGATCCAGATTAGAATCTGGATGGCAATTATTACCTGAGTGAATTTTAGTAATTCACTTCACATCTCTGGGCCTGTTTTCTTGTTTGTAAAATGATAGAGTTGGACCAAATGGCCTTTAGAGTAGTTTTCATATTTTGATTCTATGATAAAGAAGATAGAGAAATGACTACTTGATCACAGTAACCCAAAGTCATACAGGTTTTCTGAAATACATTTCAAATCAGAGCAGAAGCACCAGGAATCTACCTCAGGGTGGGAAAATGTGAAGAAGCACAGTGGCTCAGCAGAGGTAGGGACAGGGTGGTGAGAACTGAGGATGGCCAGAGTTCCCACATGGCTGAGGCTCCCACTCTGTTTGGGCAAGGCTCTTTGGGCAAAGGACCTGGGGGGATACAAGGCCAAAGTTATAGCTGATGGGTCTAGGGAGGGGTCCAGCCCTGGCCAAGACCCATTGGTATTAATGGCAGTGGCCCTTCAGCAACTGCCTCATGGGAGCCACCTTAGTGAGAGAGACTGCACAGCACTGGGACCAGAAGGAGGTTGGAGAGTGGTCCCCAACCCACAGTCAGCACAGCTGAGAAGAGATGCTTCAGAGGCCTCCTCTCAACACAGTCTGCCTCATTTCAAGTTAGGAAAGGCCCAGGAAAGTAATCAAGGTGAGGTGAGAAAAATGCTGGGTTGAAATCAGAGGACTTTAGTTCAAATTTCACCTCTGCTCCTTCCTACCTCTGTGGCCTTGGGCAAGTCTCATTTCACATTGCTGGGCCCCAATTTTCTTCTCTATAAAAGGAAGGGTCTGATTGCTAGGATCCATTCCAGCTCTAAATCCAAATCTTTACTCTTTTGCCACCTTTCTCTCAGGTTCCTTTCCTTTCCTTGCAAGATTTGCTCTCCCAGGCTTCTCAAACCTTTTACCTGACCACAGCTCAGGGGGCAAAGTGCTCACAGCCACTGTTCTGAGAAAGGGTTGGTTCCCCTGAGGTCAAATTTCAAAAACCTGGCTGAGACAGCACAGCACAGGGAAGTCAGGAGACCTGGGTTCCAATCCCTTCTCTGACACTAATTCTGGGCATCTCTTTCTTTTTCCAGAAAATGAAGGGTTTGGAAAAGGACCCTTCTAGCTCTCTCATCTGCTGCTCTGAGATTTGGTCTCCATCTGACAACTTCAACTCAGTCACATTTTAATAAGAATTGAATGTTCATTCCCTTGTGGCCTTAGGCTTGTCTTTTAACCTGGGGGATAGGGAAGAGGTGATAGACAACAGCTGTGTTTTCCTCTTTGAAATCAAGACATTGGACCAAATGATTTATCACAGGAGATCAAATGAGATTAGATTAGGAAAATTGAATATGGTTTTCAATGTTCCTCAACCATTCACTCAAATATAGTCATCCAGTGATTCTCTATGGAGATGAATCATAAAACACCATAATCTTGGAAGAATCCAAATAATAAATAACTGAAGCAAGTATGAGACTTGTGATGAGCATAAGTAGGCTGCCATGTGTTATTAATGATGCCTTACATGTGAGAAGTGGAATAAAAGCAATTATCAGGAACATGGAAAATATGTCAGGAAAAGGAGATGAGAAAGTCATGCAGCAAGAATGAAAGGATAATCTCAGTGAAACAATGCCATTAAATACATTTAAAAAAAAAACAAGAGGAAATCCCCAGTGCATTAGGTAGATTATCTATGGAAAATTTTACAGAAAAATGTGGTTCAACCAATGAAAATATCAAAGTAAAATAGGTGTATTAATGCCACAGCCCAAAGAGATGAGACCATTAACCTCTCAGGGAATAGATAGAATTGAATATAAGTATCCATCCCCTCATTCATTCATCCATGCATTCATTCATTCAACAAAAACCATTAAAATAGTTGTGATTTTAAAGCAGTGTGATAAGTCTAGGCCATCAAAAAAGCATTTATTTCTTCTCGATGATCTTGATGATTTCCTTGAATGGATGGGTACAAAATTATGTGTTGAAATGTGCTCCAAGATGTTGCATTGATATGGCATCAATTATTTATATCAACTGAAAAAACATATAGGAAACCTATATACTTTTTTTTTCTATTCTCATGAATCCCATTGTTCTTTAGACGCAAACTTCTGCTCAATATTTGGATTATAGTTTGGAAAAGGTTGTTCATGAATTTGAAGAGTGCATGATGGCAAAGGAAAATTGTAGATTTGGACCAGACAAGCTTCCTTTCAATAGAGGGCACTACCATCCTTCTAGTCACCCAGACTAGGTTTGCAATCACAGAATCATCTTCAACTCTTCAACCCCTTTACCCAACTTGTCTATTTAGATGCCATGCTTTGTCAATTCTATGTCCAGTATATCTCTCAAATCCATTGCCTTCTATCCATTCACAGGCCTACTACTGTGATATAGGTTCCTGTCATCTCTCCCCTGGTCTATTGAAATAATCTCGTAATTGGTTTCCCTGCCTCGAGTCTCTGCTCTCTCAATCAACCCTCAGTGGCCAAGATGATATTCCTAAAGGATAGGCTTGTCCACATAGCTCCTCTATTCAACAGACTCTAATGCCTCTTCATTATCTAGAAAATCAAACACCAGGTCCTCTGGAATTTAAAGATCTTCACAATCTGGTTCTAACCTACCCTTTATTGCTCTCATTTACTTACTTTTTGGTCCAGCCACAATGGCTTTCTTTCTTGTCCCCCCCACATGACATTCCAGGCTAACTCCCATGACAAGAATGTACTTCCTCTTCACCTCCTCTTCTTAAAATACTTAGTTTCCTTCAAAATCCAGCTCAAATACCTCTTTCATGAGGCCTTTCCTGATCTCTCCAGGTGCTAGTGTCTCCCCCCCCTCCATTATCTTGTACCTCATTCTGTACGTATATTTTAATTTACTTATTTATGCATGTTTGTTTGTTTTTTCCCTTGAGGACAAGAAGTTTTATTTATGTCTTTGTATCTCCACTGTTTGGAAGCACAGTAGTTGCTTAACAAATATTTTACTGAGTGATATATCAGATAATCCAGAGCATATGCCTGTTCTGTGGAAAATTCTAAAATAATCCCTGATCATGTTGCAATTAGTGATACCCCACTCCCTCCAAAATGTGTCCCTAGTTACTCTCACTCAAAGGCATATAGGAAACTCTAGTACCAAGAAGAACAAGGAAATATGTAGGCATTAAAATCCCCTCTCTGACTAGTTCTGAAAGATTTCTTGTTCAAATAGCTCATAATGCTGTAGAAAGTCAAACCCCTCTCTCTCAAAATAATTCTGAGAAACAGGAGGCAGGAATGGCCCCAAGTGGAAAGCGATGGGATACCAGGAAACAAATTCGACATTTACAAACATCTCTACCTGCGAACAATAGCCTATATCAGGCTTCTGATTTTGCAGATGTTCCTCTGGGTAAAATCGGTCATTCTTGACCTTTAAAATCAGAATGATTAGCTAGCTATACTCAATTTGGGGAGGGGGGATGTCAATCTATCAGAGTCCAAGTGGAACAACCTTCAGGATAGTCTGAAAATTGAATTTAGATAGAAAATTTCAATTAGTTAAAAGAGTGATGCTGATTTTCTTGGAGGTCTCCATGTTGTCTGCTATGTTCTTTTGTAGGTTTCACTTTACAAACATGCCTACTGCCAGTATCTGTCTATCTCTCTTGTTGCACAAAGCAGAGAACAAATAGGTGTTGAATTGAAAGCCATCATTTCTGGGAACAATGAAAGCTAAATAGCTTTTTGCACCCTATATTGGCTAGAGATCTGTCTGAGACAGACATCTTTCAGGACTCCAGGGGAGACTTGGTATTGACTTGAAAGGTCACCATCTACCTCCAGGAAACAAAGAGACAGCCAGCTGGTATGGAAAGGAACATCTGGGCTTTGAGGGGAGACAGGTGTTAAGTAACCTCCTGAAACAGAACCACACAGAAGCAACAGGAGGGAAGTCCTAGTGATGCTAAAGCCTGTGGATCTTGTTACAGCAGGAGGCAGGAATGGGATTTTATCATCTAACTGCAACCTCTATAGGGTTTGCCTTCTTTCTATTCTAAAAAAAATGTCAAAACATTTTGATGATAAAAGTTTGGGGCTTAGGAAAAAAATATTTATCAAAATATTCCTTTACTATACAAACTTCTTTCCACATTGTCTCTTAAGCACAAACTGACCTTTTGGAGTAAATAAAACAGGTTACTAAGTTTTTTAATGCAATTTTCAGGGGAATTTCTACTTTTTTTCTTTAAAAAAAGGACTATTTTCTCAATATTTTCTAGAAGGAAAATGCCAAAATGGCTAATCAAGCATATGAGTGTAATGGCATATTACTGTGCTATAAGAAATCATGAACATAATGAAGAGAGAAGTATGGGAAGACTCATATAAAATACTGCACAAGCAGAATCAGGAAAGTAACATGAACAAAGACTGCAACAATGTAAATGTAAATAACGAAAATTCAATAAAACTTCAAGCGCTAGGAAAGTACGTGAGTGAGTGAGCTTGACCCCAAAGAAGAGAATGAAGAAGGCACCTCTCTATATTCTTTAATATATAGGAAACTATGGGTATGGAACACTGCAGATATCAGGAGGTTGTTTTGGTTTGGGGTGTGTGTGTGTGTGTGTGTGTGTGTGTGTGTGTGTGTGTGTTAGTTTGCTTGACTGGGTTTTCCCCCTCTTTCCTATTCATTTATACTAAAGGTGGCTCTCTTGGGAGGAAGGTGGGAGAGAGATACACT